TTGTGCTCATTCAGAGAGGACATCTCTTCCTCCATTGCCTGTTTCCAGCGCTCTGCCTCCTCTTTTGGTAACTTTAACACCTCCTGAAAACTCTTGGGTTCTGCAATTACACTAAACACATTTGCAGTATCTGGAGAAAAATGCACCGGAGGCACTCCTTTGTTTTGTCTTTTAGATCTTCTGGGAGAAAATTTTTCTTCTGACCCACTTTCCTCCTCAGAACTACGACCTCTCTTTTGTTGCTTAGCAACTGGTCTTTGGCTAACTCCACTTTCTTGAGAGCTCTTATCTGAACTTCCCTCCCCCTCAGACTCTGATTCTCTGTGTTTACCTTCAGAGTCATGAAGCTCCTGGGAAGGTTCAAACCAAACCTCAGTATTGGCATGTAGTCTCTCCCAGCCACTATGTTCACAAAAACTGGCATTCCTGGAGATCACAATGCCATTTGTCCCTTCAGCAAAACGGAAACCTTTTCCCAGCTCCTGGTAACCCACAAACACTAACTGTTTGGTCTTAGGATCTCCCTTCTTTCTCATTTGTTTCGGAATTAATACCCAGGCTGTTGATCCAAACACATGCAAATGGTCAATTTTGGGTTTTTTCTGAAACAATTTAAAGTACGGGGTTGTACCTATTGTTTGATGAAAGAGCCTGTTTTGGAGATAACACGCGGTGAGCATGCTCTCCCCCCAATAAGACATGGGTAAATCAGCATCATCAAGCATGGCAAACATCATATCTTGTAAAGATCTGTTTTTTCGCTCTGCAACGCCATTCTCCTCTGGGGGAAAAACGTTCGTTTTTCTATGCCCAATGCCACGCTTTTGTAACCAATCTTTAAAGGCATTTGACATAAATTCGCCACCTCTGTCCGTCTGAATCCTTTTGAGTTTAATGGACAGAAATCTTTCCACAGATGCCACCCAGCCTTTAAACTTAGTGAACACGTCACCCTTATTCTTCATGGGAAAACCCAAGAATAACGCGTGGCGTCATCCACAATTGTTAGTGAAAAGCGCGATCCACCCCTGCTTACAGCAAATGGACCAATTACGTCCATGTGAACCAGCTGTAGCGGTGCCTCACTAACTCTGTCGCTTCTGGGGTAAGAGACTCTGTGGGTTTTAACCTTTTTACAAACATTACAATCAAGGTACTTGTTACAACTCTTTAAATTACCCCCATCAGCCAATTCAGACATTTTTAGTACACTTTTCCAGCAAGCATGCCCCATTTTCCTATGCAATAAGTGCACACAGTTGTCATGTATAGCTTTGTTATTCACTGCAGGCTGAGATTTACTGACTACTGCTGCAACTTGAGATCCTGCTTTAAGCCAAAACAAGCCTCCCTCTGACTTAGCAGTGCCTAAAATCTCACCAGCCTTCTTAATAATGCAACTGTCTCCTTCAAAATACACTTTAAACCCAGCTTTTAGCAAACAATCTACAGACATCAGATTGCTCCTTAATGACGGCACACAAAGTACATTTTGCAGGCATTCACGAAGACAAGGAACAAAAACTGCACCCCCCGAAATCACTTCGGAAGTACTTCCGTCTGCTAAAGCCACCTGGCTGCGCTGTGCTGAGTTCTTGGAAACAAACAATTCATCTGAATTCACGATGTGGCGAGATGCTCCCGAATCAACCACCCAGACCGCTTGTTTCTCATCAGCAATCTTGACCTCGCCGGTCACCAGCTGAGCCGACTGTTTTCGTTTGAAGAATTTCTTTTTACGCTGCTGCTGCTGCTGCTGATCTCGTCTCTGCTCCTGCACCGGCAACTGAGACTTGACCAACTCCGGACATTGTCGTTTTAGATGCGCTGAAGACCCACATCGGAAACAACGCCTAACAGCAAACGCTGACTCCTCACCGGTACGCTGCTTTTGCTTCACCTCTGGCACGGCATGAGAACTCCTTCCAAACCGCCCACCTGTAGAAGCCTCTGCAGCCACCGACCTTTCTTGCCTCTTCTGCCATTCTTCAATCAAACGCCCAGTAACGTAACTGACTGATAAATCATGCTCCTGTATGCCTTCTAGAGACAAAACTAAATTATCCCAGCTTTCCGGGAGAGAACTCAAAATAATAGCCACCTTCTCCTGCTGGTCTAACGCACAGTCTCTTTCCTGTAGTGCAGTAAACTTTAACTGTAAACTGTGTAGGTGTTCCTGCATTGTAACCCCAGGCTGTAACATTGCCTTGTACAATGCCTTGCGAATGAACAGCTTGGAAACCGCTGTCTCACGCACATGGAGTTCTTTAAGTGCTTGCCACACACCTCTAGCTGTCTTGATTCCCCTCACATACGGCAACTGGGAATCTTCCAGCCCCAAGACAATTGTGGCCCTTGCTCTTTGGTCTTTATCGAGGTCTTCATCATCAGGCTTCGCAGGAAACTTACTCACCACTTGCCAGAGACGATCCCTCTGCAGCACTGCCTGCATGCGTTCCGACCACAGCAAGTAATTGGAGTCGTTCAGACGCTCAAAAGCCATCTGAACTGGTTGTGAGGCCATCTTGAGAGCGATGTCCCTGGAACCCGGAACCAGCTACTCACGACCACCGAGAGAGAAAACAGGAACCACAGCACCCAGCACTCACACGCTGCAGCTGTTGTCCTTGTGTCTGCTGCGTCACCAGCTCACCACAGTCAGGAACCAGCCAGAGTCCATCTGCTGCACCAACAGGAACAACAACTTCTGGAACTACTGGAACCAACGCCGTTGATGCTGACACCACCGCAACTCAGGCTGGCAGCACAATGCCCATAACCTCATGGAACTTTGAAGTGTCAGGCATAGCCCTATTGGCTTTAGCCCAAACGTAGCAGAGTTTTCCTGCACAGCGAGGAAGCTAGTTGCGGCGGTAATGACTAGTCAGCTAGACTCAGAATAACTATTTACAGGATTTATTAAAAAGGAAAAATAAAACCAGCAGAGTTTCTGCATACAAATCAAAGCAAAATAAATCCTCTCTTTCTCTCTCTCAAAACCATACACAGCACTTCTACTCCTAACAACACCTCAACACCAAACTGTGCTAGCATTCCTAGATAACAGAGCAGAGTGCTGGTCGTTAACCAATCAGAGTAAGTAGTTTCTAGGTCAAGCAGACCTGGGCTTTCTGCCAAGAGTAAATTGACACTGCCTTGAGTTAATTGTGAGAAGCCAGAATCTGCAAGTTTCCCACGAGAACCAATTAACAGAAACTGAACAGGTGCATGCATTTGGGGCTCCCTCACATGAAGGGGAATCCTGGGCCAATCACGAGTGCTCTTCCCACTGAGGAGCCCTACGCATGTAGAGCCCATTGTCACAGAAACATATTAGAGGACTGACAGGGTGTGCGGCCAGCCAGTGCGATCCCACTCCCTGAGTCAGCGTGTAAGGAAGGGTTGTGCCCACCTTGATTTGAGCATTAAACAGTGGGGAGGGTGTGACATCCTTTAATAAATTACCGTCAGCTAACTGACTGACCTTTCCCTCACCCTGCCAGGGTCTGAACCTGGGACCCTTAGCATCCAAGGATGGGCTCTATCTTTGCTATATCCCTTCTTCTTATCATGCCTGAAGTGAACATAGAAACCTGCACCTGCAGCATCTTCATTACGGCTGATATATTTAAACATTCAGGGAAGGTGTCCTAGACTGGGGCACTGAATGCAGCAGGAGGCTGGTGCAAAGAAAAGAGAGGGCCAGCCAGCCCAAGGTATTTTGCTTCCTGAGGCAAAGGGCTAGATGGCACCCTACCCCTATTCCATATACAAAAGCTAACCAGACAGGCATCCGAGTCTTAGTTTAACACTGGTAAAGGAATGGTATCTTATCAAAGGGCCTGAGAGCAGCAGGCTGATTTAGGGAATGCAGGGCAGTCTGCATGGCGCACAGCAAAGTTCCCTCCCTGTCTCTCAGCATCACCAAAGGTTGGGCTGGCCCTGAAACTGGCCAAGCTCTGTGTGTGATTCTCAAAGAGAAAGCACCAGCAAAGATGAGGCTTTCAAGTTTCACAGTTAGTAGCAATGGCCACAAAAACCACTGCCATCTTGTGAACAACCATTTACAATTTATTCCATATTTGGATTCCTAACCATACGTTCCTGTTCTCTTCTCCCCACCATCTCCAGCCCGCAAGGCCAGATAAGGAAGAATGGTTGTAATTTCTGAGTGTTACTTAGCACTATGCTAGATGGAACACTTTACAAAAAAAGAAACTCCCTTTGTTACACATTTGTTTCCCACATCTTAGCTGTACAGAAAATGTGGTGCTATTTTAGTTTAGGACACCTCTGCCAGACTGTTATTTGTTCCAAAGTGAGTAATAAAATAAACATTTGCTGTAAAATGTTAAATAACAGTGAAGTAGTTGAGTATTTCCTGCTCACCTTCTCCCCGCACCCCAAACCCTACATTCATTAATCCTGCTGTTGAAGGTGCTGCACCAGGGATTCAATACAATCAAATTCAAGAGAAACATCCTTGCCCTCCCCACACCCCAACCTTCCATTTTAGATTGTCACACAGCAACTGGACTTAAGCTGACAATGGGAAATGGTTTAATTTTAATTTTTAGAGATTTGGTGGGATCTGTACTAAGAGGGGGACAGGATGGAAAGGGAACCTCATCTGGAATCGATTTTATGCATTTAGCTTTTCAGTAAGTTCTAAATGCCAAGAGCATCGAGGATGAGACAAGAAGGACAGAGTCTGAGCAGTGCAGTGGTTAGTGTATGGGACTAGGGTTGGAGAGTCTCTGCTCAAATCTCCACTCAGCTATGCAGATTACTAGGCAAACTTGAACTAGTCACAATTTCCCAAGCTAACCTACGGTACCTCACAAGGTTTTGTGAAACAAGGTAAGGACAATCATGCATGCTGCCTCAAGCATCTTGGAAGACAAGCAGGGTATGACTGCAATAAATACTAAGTAGAAATACGGATCAGTCTGTGAATATATATTCCATCCTTTATTTCATCAACATCAGAAGAAACTTACGTGCGGATGACAACCATGAAACTGTAACCGATGGACCCAACTCCCACCAAAAAGTAGGAGAGAGGCAGCCGGAACTTCAACCACCCGATTGTTCTCTGGTTATTGTAATAGCCATAGAAGAGGACAGAATACTGTGCAAGACCCTGAAATGTCAACGACAAAGAACAATTTAGATATCTTCCTCTAACTTCAAGCAACAACAAATGCAACTTAAGCACAGGGATACTTTTAAACTGAAGTAATTTGACTCATGCATTGAGTTGGGGTCCAAGAAGCTGACACAGAAGACGGAGAAAGATACAAGGGGAAAGGGTGGTGTGTAGAGCTAGTGAGCAGATGGCAGCCGCCTTCTGCCCAAATCCCCAAACACAACTTCTAGCCAACTCCTGAGGTTGCCATCAAAATAGAAATATTTGGGGGGGGGATTCAAAACACACAATAAATGGTCTCACCTCAAAAAGGATATAACAGAGTTCAGAAAAGGGCAAGCAGAATAATCAAGGGGACGAAGCATCTGCCCTATGAGCAGTTTAGGGAAAAGGTAAGATGGTTGGATAGTGTTCTCGAAGCTACCAGCATGAGTTTGACCAAACTGCGGGAGGCAGTGGAAGACAGGAGTGCCTGGCGTGCTCTGGTCCAGGGGGTCACGAAGAGTCGGACACGACTAAACGACTAAACAACAACAACAAAGAGGTGACATGGATGAAGTCTCAAAGATTATTCCCGGCATGGAGAAAGTGGACCAAGAAAGGCTTTTCTCCCTCTCATAACACTAGAACTCGTGGACACCAAATGAAGCTGAATGTTGGAAGATTAAAAAGTTCTTCTTCGTGCAGAGCAGAGTTAAACTATGGAACTTGCTCCCACAGGACACAGCGATGACCAACCAACATGGAGAAAAAGTGACTCCTGGCCATGCTGGCTCAGCTCTGCCTCTATGGTCAGAGGCCATCATGCTTCTGAATACCACTTGCTGGGAAATGCAGGAGGGCTGAGTGCTCAGGTGCGCAGCTTCTGCTTGTGGGTCTCCCACAAGCATCTTGTTGACCTCTGTGAGAACAGGAGGCTGGACTAGATAAGCCACTGGCCTGATCCAAAAGCTTCTCCTTACGTCCTTAAGATGGAGTAGGTTGTAAAGCATATTGAACACAGCACAAATGTTTTTCTCATCACCCATCCAGGTGCTTGTGTAAGAAATACACACAACATTTCATATGTGACAGGCAGCAGATGCAGTATTTCCTAAGTGGAGATTAACCTCTGTATTAGAAACCAACATATGCCCAGGAGTTCATTATATCAATCAGTCACTAGATTTTATTCATGTAAGGGATATAACAGATCAACCCTCTTTGAGATGTGAGTCATCTGAAATATTGTGATGGAACTTAAGTGGGGATGCAGCCTGTGAAAGGCCATGCAGGGCTTTATAAATTAAAACCAGGGCTTTGTGTTGTGTTGGAATATTGCCAATGCAATTCTGGGCTGCATCAATAGGAGTATAGCATCTAGATCAAGGGAAGTAATAGTGCCACTGTATTCTGCTCTGGTCAGACCTCACCTGGAGTACTGTGTCCAGTTCTGGGCACCACAGTTCAAGAAGGACACTGACAAACTGGAACGTGTCCAGAGGAGGGCAACCAAAATGGTCAAAGGCCTGGAAACGATGTCTTATGAGGAACGGCTAAGGGAGCTGGGCATGTTTAGCCTGGAGAAGAGGAGGTTAAGGGGTGATATGATAGCCATGTTCAAATATATAAAAGGATGTCACATAGAGGAGGGAGAAAGGTTGTTTTCTGCTGCTCCAGAGAAGCGGACACGGAGCAATGGATCCAAACTACAAGAAAGAAGATTCCACCTAAACATTAGGAAGAACTTCCTGACAGTAAGAGCTGTTCGGCAGTGGAATTTGCTGCCAAGGAGTGTGGTGGAGTCTCCTTCTTTGGAGGTCTTTAAGCAGAGGCTTGACAACCATATGTCAGGAGTGCTCTGATGGTGTTTCCTGCTTGGCAGGGGGTTGGACTCGATGGCCCTTGTGGTCTCTTCCAACTCTATGATTCTATGATTCTATATACCACTAGGAAATATTCTGATTTGCTAAATGAAATTACTATTGCTTTCCAAAATTTTTTTTAAAAAAAAACATATTTTTTTATTAAGGGTGTCTCCCCAAAATTAAGTATTGCTTTCCAAAATTAAGTAATGGGGTGCAAATGTTTGGTGATGGCTGACAAGAAGTAGTGACACAACTGGACAAGGGTTTCTTTGAGTCTTTTAGTTACAACAAACATCTGTCTCTGCTGGAAACCGCTTCTTGAGGTGGGCCAGATAGCCGTAAAGCTTGCAAATGGCCATAATGAATTCAAATCAGACACCAAGAGTTCAGCGTGTGCCCTTGTAATCTGCCAAGGGCCTGCGGATCAATTGGAAAGGGTTTTAATTGACTGTGGTAATGCGGAGAGGCTTAGCCCTCATGCATATATTTCCCTTCCCTTCTGCTGTTTTGCTGCTGGTTATTTCTTAAAAGTAAACCATTAGTAGATTAAAATGTCAATAGGCTAACATCCTTCTGTTTCATTTAATCGCAAGCCATGCATTTGATGTATTGTGATGGCTAGGCTGCCCGAGACAAGTCACAGACTCTGCCTGCTAAGCCTCATTTGCAATCTTGGCTGTGGTGAAAATGAAATATTAACACATGACAAGTAAATATGACTAGATTTGTGGTATGACTATCAATCCATTTCCTTAGTTTCCTTAGAGCTGACATTGTCTCCACTGGGGGGGAATTATGGGGCTCTTGCGTGGTTCAATTATTTGCAGAACATTGGTGGTGTGTGAAAGACATGGTTGCCCAGTATCCTTTGTTGTCCTAAATCATTATTACCCCGGACTCAAAAGGCACACAAAGTTCTGCTTATCTGTCTCAATCTTTCCCCTCTATTCTCTTCTGACTGAGCAGGGAACCAAATGTCACCCCTTACATTCAACTTACAGGTTTTAAAAAATGCAACTAGCAGTACTGATAATTCTGGACACCACAGAAGACATGGAGGGGGGTTTCACCTTTTCCTTCCCAGCTGTGATCCTAAGGAAAATCCCTCCTCTGAAGGGATTTCCACTGACACCAAGGAGGGAAATCTCTATTGACTCCCAATGCAGCTTCAGAGAAGAGATTTTCAGCAGGACTGTAATAAGGGAAGAAAGGGTTACATTTATGCCTGTTGTGACGAGGGATGGATGAATCTCCCATCAATTTCACTTCTCCCAGTTTCTCATTTTTCCCATTTTAAATTCAGTTCCCCACATATCTCTACTGGTTTGCAATTTAAAAAAAAAATCTTTATAAACATCCGTCCACATTTTAGTGCAAATTTATTCTAATAAACACACCTTTGTATGTAATTTTTACAATTACAAAGGATTCTGCAAACAATTTCCTCTAAGATTATGCATTCTCTGTGTTATTTTCACTAATATGTCAATTTTTAGTCACACTTTTGCCTAATATATGCTTTCTTGTATTCATATATTTGGAGATGTGTGAAGTTAGCTGTGTTCCAGTTCACATATTGATTTGAGAATGGCAAATTAGATAGTTTCACATTAAAATGCTGATAAAATTGAATTTCTCTCTCTGTCATTGATATTAGACAAATAGATATTGTTTTACAAAATGGAGATTCAAGGAGACGTACAATGTAGCAGAAAAAATAAAACTAATATAAATCTAAAACAAAATAAAAGCTAGAAACACTGATATACATAAAAAAGCAGTCTAACACATCCCACCCACATGTGACTTCTCTCAATTATTAGCTCTGGCACTTGATGTGAGGGTCATTCCACCCACCATCTCAGATTTTGATGAAATTTGGTGTACACCCTTCCCTTATAGTTGAAATTAATCCCTTATAATTCCCTTATAGTTGAAAGAAATCCCTTAAAATTTTTTCCTCTATCTCAAACGGTTTTACTTTTATAGCACTTTGAAGTTTTGTTAAATCTGCATTGTCTGTCCCTCTTGAGACCCTCAGCATAAGATACCCTTGTGTACATTTTATTTTTTCTCTCCATAACCAATAATCAGATCTCTTTGAAATTTTACACAGAGCTCAATAAAATGATGAGTATTTCAGGAAAAAATAGAGGGGGGGATTAAGGGGGTTTATGGCGCTGTGGGTAAAACCACAGTGCCTAGGGCTTGCCGATCGCATGGTCGGCGGTTCGAATCCCCGCGGCGGGGTGAGCTCCCGTCTTTCGGTCCCAGCTCCTGCCCACCTAGCAGTTCGAAAGTACCCTTAAGTGCAAGTAGATAAATAGGGACCGCTTTCTAGCGGGAAGGTAAATAGATGGGATTTTGCCCTGGGAACTGCTTCCCCTTCAATCCATTAGGTCTCAGGGGAGTCAGAGCTTTGTTGGGAGCTTTCCAGAAGACCTGTATCCAAGTTTGTTTAAATATTGTTTAAAACATATACCAGTTTTCACCATGTAGCTGTCAAAGTGGCTTACAACAATAAAATATATGGCATGCAACAGTTAAAACATAAAATTCACTTCCAGAATTTAAGAGGTATAAAGCAAAATGACCGTTTTTCAGCTGCATGTTGAGCTACTCTTCATCTTGCTCACTTTTAACTTACTGTACATGTCAGAAATCCCAGTGACAAGTCAATGCAAGAGCTTATTTCATGACATCAGAAAGTCCCACTGGATCTGGGGTGCCACATTTGATCCCATTTCCCAAAAACAATTAGAATTTATATCTTTTCAATTTTACCTACTTAAATTACGTATCCCAAATTGGTAGTCTTGCCCAGTGAACTGCTGACAGAAAACAACATTCACACCATCAAAACACAAAGCCTAAGGAATGGCTTTTGCAGGACTTCCGGTCGGCGCCAGCGCTAATGGCGGTCCTTTTTCCGAGCTCCGGAAAAGGACTGCCCTGCGAGTTCGGGTCTGTCCCGCTACGGCAAGCGGGGGACCCCTAAAATCACAGGCGCGGAAGCCTGTGAACGAGGAGATTCGGTGGGCACCAGGAGCGCCCCCCCTTTACTGCAGAAAGAGCCTTTTTAAAGGCTCTGGAACGACATCGGGGGAGCGCGGTGCTGAGAATCGCTACCCAGCCCGCAGGGTGAAGCCGCGTCGCTATTAGCGGAGAGCGCCGATTCCTTCCTGTAAATTTCGGACAGAAAAAAACCCGTGAGTAAAACGGAACGTCTATTTGGAATTAAATTCTGGAAATTTGGTGGAAAACGGGGAGGTAAAAATTAAGGAAGTCTGCCTTCCCCCGACTGCATGAAAGTGAAAGCAACGGAACTGTAAAGCTGCATCCGTAAGAGACATTGCTTTTGATTAATTAAACCTGACATCTGGACTTTAGATCTCCCCTCTAGCTAGCAGGGCAGAGGGGAGCCAAGAGAGATTTTGGCAACTGCATGATCTATTTAAAAGAAAAATTCTCTGCTGTCTCAGTGATCGGAAACGGTCTGCCTAGTAAGACAATAGGACACTGAACTGACTTTTTCCTGTGAAAGTTACATTGTGACACAAAGTTTCTGCACTGTTTGGCTACAGTATACCAGAGCAGGCTGAGATAGTATCTATTGGGAAACTGTGGCAACTTTTACTTACAAGCCTCCTGCTATACTTGCCTTAAACTTTTTTTCCTTCCTTCTACGTATTTGGACATTGTCTTTGCCTTTGTATTTGGACTTTGTCTTTGTATCTGGACATTTTGATTTGCTCCCCCTAGAGGGTAAAGCGAAGGCCGACACAGCTCAAGACAGTGGAATTTTCCATCGGGAAATAGCTCCCGTGGGAAACGACCTTGACATGAGTGGCTCACAAGAAGAGATAGTCACAAGAGCCAAGACCAAACAACAACAACAGTACCAGCTGCAGCAACAACAACGACCAAAGAAAAGAGGCTCAATCACAGGGGCAACTGCTGGACTTGTAGTAACAACAGGACAAGAAAAAGTGACAGCTGTCTCTATGGAAGCTGTGACAGAGGCCCTGCTTAAGGTAAATCAATCCCTGGAGTCTCTGACAAAACAGACTTCAGAAAATACACAAAAATTAACAGAAATATCAGCAAGACTAGATCAGAATACAGAATCTATAAATAAACTGGTGGAGGAAAACTCCACTACACGTAAAATTGCTGAAGAAGCGAGAGCCATTGCTGGAGAGACACAGGAGAACTTAGAACCGATTGCTAAGAAGGTTTATGAGCACGACGCAACTTGGTAGCTGGATTTAAGTTGAATAAGCAAAAAACTAAAGTCTTAGGTAAAAATTTAACAGAAATGGAAAAGGAGAAATTCCAGGAGGAGACAGGGTTGACGGTGGTTAAGAAGGTGAAATACCTAGGGGTTTATTTGACATCTAAAAATATGAATTTGTATAAGGATAATTATGAAAAATGTTGGTCAGAGATTAAAAAAGATCTAGAAATATGGTCAAATTTGAAACTGTCAATGTTAGGCCGAATTGCAGTGATTAAAATGAATGTATTGCCTAGAATGTTATTTTTGTTTCAGACCTTGCAGATACTTGACAAGATGGAATGTTTTAAGAGGTGGCAGAAAGATATCTCGAAATTTGTCTGGCAGGGCAAAAAGCCCAGAATCAAATTTAAAATATTGACAGATGCTAAAGAAAGAGGGGGTTTTGCCCTGCCGGACTTAAAATTGTACTATGAGGCAGCAGCGTTTTGCTGGCTGAAGGAATGGATGCTCCTCGAGAACACAGACATCTTGGATCTGGAAGGTTTTAACAATGTTTTTGGTTGGCATGCATATCTATGGTATGACAAAATTAAGCAGCATAGTGCCTTTAAAAATCACATTGTTAGAAAAGCATTGTTTAATGTATGGATGAGATATAAAGATCTGTTGGAAAACAAAACCCCTAGATGGGTGTCACCAGTCGAGGCTAAAGCAGTAAAGAAACTCAATATGGAGGTCGGATGGCCGAAGTATTGGGAAATTTTGGAACAGGATGGAGATAAGTGGAAATTACAAAGCTATGACAAATTGAAACATAAAGTACAAAACTGGCTTCAATATTATCAAATAATGGAGCTTTTCAAACAGGACAGGAAAATTGGCTTTCAGGTGGAAAAATCAAAACTAGAGATTGAACTGCTAGAACCCAATACTAAGAATTTATCAAGAATGTATAACTTGTTGTTGAAATGGAATACACAGGATGAAACGGTGAAATCAGCTATGATTAAATGGGCACAAGATATTGGTCATGACATTATGTTTGCTGACTGGGAACAGTTATGGACCACCGGTGTTAAGTTTACGGCATGTAATGCCTTAAGAGAAAACATAATGAAAATGATTTACAGGTGGTACATGACCCCAGCCAAGCTTGCAAAAATTTACCATTTGCCCGATAACAAATGTTGGAAATGTAAAGAGACTGAAGGTACCTTCTATCATCTTTGGTGGACATGCCCGAAGATTAAGGCTTTCTGGGAAATGATCTATAATGAAATGAAAAAGGTACTTAAAAGTACCTTCTCTAAAAAACCAGAGGCCTTTCTCTTGGGCATTGTCGGCCAATTGGTGCCAAAGAGGGATAGAACTTTTTTTATGTACGCTACAACAGCAGCAAGAATACTTATCACAAAGTATTGGAAGACACAAGATTTACCCACTCTGGAAGAATGGCAGATGAAAATGATGGACTATATGTCATTGGCTGAGATGACAGGCAGAATACGTGACCAAGGAAAAGAGACGGCGGAAGAAGAATGGAGAAAATTTAAAAGTTATCTTAAGGACTATTATAAACTTGATGAATGTTAGAATGTTATGGTTTTCAGAAACAAAGGGATACAGTGATATAAGGTCAGATTATAGAGATAACTAAGGACAGAGGTTGGAAAGTAATATTGGGAGTTGCTATAAAACTATGGACATTGGGATGCAGAAAGGGGGGGGTATGGGGGAGTCTGAGAAAAGAGGGTTATGAGAAACAATATGAAATTATGCGTGTTTGTATGTTTTTTGTTGTTGTTTTTTAAGTGTTTGTTTGTCTTTAAAACTTTGTAAAACCAATAAAAATTAAAAAAAAAAAAAAGGAATGGCTTTTGCAAAGTGCAACTTACACTGAAATCCCACAGAGTGGCAAAGTTCATTGCTGTCGCTTCCTCTGCTCTGGGCACAGTTTTTCTAGGTAAAGTTCCATATGGTTTCCCCATCAATGCCTGTTTTCGCACGTAGGTCAGTCAGAGTTGTAATTGTAAACACATCCAAAACAAAGAAAGAAATCAGCATGAAAAAAACATTGGGGAAGCTCACTTTCAAGGCTATTTCTTGTTTTCCCACTGCTAATTTTAATATTAATTTTAATGTTTAATTTTTTTGTGAAATTACAGCAGGCAAGTGGAGGAGGAGGAAAAGGTAAAGGACTAGTGGTTAGTGCAGGTGAATGAGTGCTGCCTCTTTCTTAAGGCATCTCCTCTCCCTAAGGCAGGGACCAAACAGAGAAAGAGATTCACCAGGGAACCATCTCTAGTAAATATAGACAGAAAACAGAAATCATCTCTGGTAAATATGGCAGTGCATATGCTGCATGAATTAACAAGATAAAAAACGTTTGAAGGACAACAAAAGATCTCTAACATCATTTGAATCCTACTGATTGTAAATGTCAGTCTAGCTCTGATCTTCCTGACAGTGGAATTTTATCCAAAATGCCCAGTCCCCCATTGTTGCTCTGGTCTTAACTTTAACCCATTTTCCTGTGTGACATTTAAGCCTAAAGAGAAACAGCAAAACAGGCTGGGCATATTAATGTAGTTATCCCCACCTCAGGCACCATGACAAGACCAAAAGTCAGTCCAAATAGGATTATATTTATTCCATACATCCATCGCAAAAATATGAAGTAGGAGGCAACAGAAGAGCCAAAATGACCTACAAGACATGAAGCAAGATAAAAGGGCAAATGAATCATTCTTCACCTTTTTTGTCCTTTCAAATAAGATATAAATCAGTATATTTATGCTTGCTTAACACACCACAAAGTGGCTGCCACTTTCCCCTCCTAAAACCTAACCATGTATTACTATTGATGTGATCTGGTAAAACCATAGTAAATTATTGCTTACATTCGTATATGCGTGGTTCGTATGCAAATATATGTTACAAATTCCAGCAATCCTTGATATGCAATGTATTTGTTGCTGTTTAAAAGCTACGGAATGAAAGGAGCAATGGTATGCAACAGTGGAGGGGAACTCCAGGCCTGTCTCCCAGGAAGATGAAAATTACTTAATTCCTTCTTCTCTCTCACTTACTTTCAATTTCTTTTATTTTCATTTCCCAGGGTATGCAGGCTGTCCGAAAATTCTCAAAATCACGTTGAAATTTCATCCATTTCTGAAATAAATATTACAAAAGCAAAATAGGACATTAGGACAATGAGAAAAGAATGAACACTTTCAACTAAAAATCTGTCTGACGATCTTAAACCTCTGTGCTTCCAAAATCTGTGTGCACTCTAGGTGGTTAGCGTGGCCTTGGCAGCCGTGTTTCTGTTGAAGGCACAGGAAATGCAAATGTGTTCCCTGTCCTGCACTTTTCTGTCTTCCACATCTTTCTGCAGCAAGCTGATATGTTAGTGTCCCCATCTTCCTACCCAAGGACTGCTTCTCTCGGTCTGAACAAGCATGGACCCTGCATTTGCCGTATGAAACCTTCTCCACTTACCCCTTCCAAGGGTGGTGACACGAGAACAGGGCTTTTACCTTAACTTGGAGGGTAATCAAGTATTCCTTTGGCTTCTTTCTGTGCTCATCCTTTTGAGGAGAGGGGTGGGTTTTGTATGTTTATAAATATTTGTCAATGAGCATTTTGTCTTCCTGCTTTGGTTGGTTTAAATGTTTCTTGCTATTTCTATTCTTACATTGTAAGTCACTTTGAGACACAGTCATGTAAAAAGCAATCAACAAGTACAATAAGCAATAACACCAAGGGAAATCTGAAAATCTACATTATATTAAATGGAGGAGATATGAAACAGAAGGTTCTTCAGCATCCTTCCATATCCCACTTACACATTTATTTCTCTCCATCATTTCAGCTGCACTTCAGTTCCATCCAAGTGCCAAATCTTAATGCCAGAGGTTCACTGAGATTTTTTAATCATTTATTAACTAACTTACATATAATATTTCTAATCTGTGCCTTTCTTGTAGGTTTACTTGGGTCTGCAGCACCAAGTCACGCTGAAGCATTGGTTTTAATATGATTTCAGCCTATCTGTATTTCTTTGGATTACTTGCAGTATCCTTTCCCTAAGCATCATCTGATTTTGATACCTTCATTTATTTTTTGTGAATGTTCACCTGTGCTCCACTGACTGTGATCCATACCTGACTGCTCAGAATCTTTTTGATTACTATGATTTGAAGGCACAAATGTGTTTGAAGGATTAATAGAGAACATTAGCAGATTTGTAGCATTTACAGAACTAAGATACCCGGGAAATTCTTCTTGCTTTTTATAGCTAAAAGTAAATGCAATCCAAAAGGAGAGTGAAACCATTAATTCTGGAAGAGATATTTGAAAAAGGCTGAGTGAGCCAATTCAAAGCCATAATGAGAGATGGTCCTTACTTTCATCATCATCACTTTATATGCATAAAATTTCTTCCCTTTGCCTTTGCCAAGGGCTCCTTCAAATTTTTCCACAAACTGCTGAGCATCTCTGAAAAATAAAAATAAAGAAGTGCTTGTGGATTTATCTGAAAGCATCTTTCCTCTCACTTTCTCTTCTGCTGAAACATTGAGACACACTTGACATTACTGAGCATCCCAATGACATGTTATGCCAAACACTTTCTCTTCCACTAAACGTGGGAACCACGTACCTTATTTCCTCGTCCCCTCAAGCACAGTTTGCCCATGTCCTGACATTATGACATGCATATTTCCCCACCCACTGCCCGCAATAGCCAATGATGTAGAGCCCAATAAGGACACATAGAATATAAAGGCATCAAGAAAATTACTATTGGATGTCATGGAACAAGAAACTAAACACAGACATGCCATTTCACAATAAAATGTTTCATTTTATTGTTTCATTCCCTGCCTTTCTTGTGCACTATCTTGGATTATTCTAAACTCATTATGATTCTCTGTAGCAACAGTGGGGGACTTATGGGCCTCCAGATGTTGTTGCATTCCAACTCCCATCAGCTGCAGCCAGCATGGCCAACGGGCAGCGATGAGGGGAGGAATTGTTCCGCAACATCTGGAGGACCACACGGTCCCCTAGAGAACTGTAAGCTTCATCCACAAGCAAAACAATTCTACATTTGTCTATATGGTGATTTATAGTGGGATTGTGATGGTGTGCTGTGGGCCATGGCCAGCAGATTTAGTGCTGTTTCTGTAGCAAAAGAGGGTTTTTTGAATAACCCTAATGTGAAGATGCCATCCCAGGAAGAGTAGTAGTAGGAAGCAAAACAAAAAAGGATGCCAGCACTTGTATTCTACCCACATGCACAATAAATAAATGAAACAATACAAAAATACAACAGTCATTTTACTGGTCCCTGTCAAGTACCTGTGTTCCCCAGCAACTGACATCTGTACCACTCATGGACTATTTACATTATAAATCCAGATAGCTTATTTTACAGGCGCTTCAGCACACATCTCAATAATGCTGTGGTTTTAGGAAGTATTCCCAGTGGATCTTTCTTAAAAACAAAACTTATGAAAAGCAACTCTGCTGCTTGAGTAGACTATCTCAGAAGATAGTCAGAGGGTAATGATTCAAAGAACACAAAATACTATTATGTTCAATGAGCTAATTAAAACAAAGCCTTCTGTGCTGCTGCAGCCATCCACTGCTGCAGAGGGCTTCATCCTTTGTTCAACTCAACTTTCCTACCTTAGATATAGTCAGACAGAAACATAAGGAGCGCAGCCCTGGCACTTCTTTCACAGAAAGAGCAACAACTTTATTTGCAGATGTGCTGTAGTGTAATTTGATGGGAGGTCTAGCACATGCTCTATATGTTCAGTAGGCTGGGCTTCACTGCCTCAAAGTCATCGACCCAGTGAACTCCATGGCTGATCAAGGATATGAACCCAGGTTTCCTCAACCAAGTCCAACATGCTACACCACACTTTCACGCTCACTGTTCACAAGTACTTAAAGATTGCTGCATCAAATATCAGCCATCTACAACAGGGGTAGGGAATCTCTAGCCTGTGGGCCAACATTGGCTTGCCTAGGGGTTGAATTTGGCCTGCAAAGCTTTTTAAAAAGCCATATCCACCTGCCAATCAGCTGAGATCACTCCAATGGTGGTGACATCACCTGATGAGGCAGGGTTAAATCCTGCTAGGTTTAGCTGCACACACTCCCATGATTCACTTTGAAGTCCCAACAGCTGGGGCTTCAAAGCACAACATTGCCATAGGTAGGGAGATAAGAATCTGGCCCACTGGGCAGAAAAGATCTGCCACCCCTGATCAAGGGCCTGCTGAACAGTCAGCAGGTCAAGACACTGAAACTAACTGATAACCCCCTGAATGTTACAGAACCATTCTGAAGGGTTTTCTGGCCTTTTCACTCTGGGTATAAAAGTTGGAGCAAAGTACAAAAATACCATCAGCTTTGGGATCTTGTTAACTGACCTGTTTGTAAGCTTTATGCTCACTAAATTTTCTAAATTATTTAAAATTGTTCATTGTTGAATTGTTAGTGTTATGTTGTACAGATATTGTAATTTTTATTATGTATTATGGTTATTGTACTACTGCATTTTTACTGTTTTTTCTCCTGTCAACTGCTTTGAGCATAAATGTGTACAGAAAACACATATAAATTGATTATGACTTTAAACATGAGATCCTTAATTTGCCAGATATGACAAGAGAGTGAAAACTGTTTGGCTTATGTTTTGAAAATACATCACCAAAAGACCAGTGAAAGCATTTTACTTTATGAAAGATATCTGGTATCTGCCCAGTCACCTGCTGGAGGAAGCAAAGGACCTCACTTTCAAACATCACCATCCACTCCCTGTGTGTTCTTATAAAGCATGTTTGAACATCAGAAACAAATCTTGTACATCTTTACTCAAAGATGCAAAAGTGTCAAAAACACAAGGTAAGTGGATTGTGTGCTATATGTAAATTATCGATAATACAAGACAGACCAAAATGTACTCTCTTAGCTAACCCATTGAAAGCTTTATTAAATTCAAAGAAACATTAATCTAATTACCAACACAAGGGGCATGAATATTTCATGAGCACAGGTATTATTGTCCTTAAATGGCCTAGCTTAATAATTCATGGGAGGTGTGGGGTTGCAGCTCTCAAAGTGCGAGGTATACTGTACTTGGGCTGTTTCAAGGTTGCAAAAGTGGGGAATGAATTACCAAACTTAAGAGGTTGCTTCTGAAGAGGAGGATTCAAGTGGATTGCTCAACTTTTCAATAACAGGTCAAGATAGTTTCAGGCACCAGCTCAAATTTCATTAAAGAGAAATGCAGTGTTGCTCCAGGGCAACTCTTTAAAAAGATTAATTTTATTTTAAAAAACAAGGCCAGAATTTCAAGGTGATATATCCAGTTGTGGTGAAACAACGTCTGATTAACATTTCCACCTCTTCCCGTTGCAGTTCCCTGTTCACACAGAAAATCTGCTCCAGAAGCTCAGGGAACCCTTTAGAGCAGATTGTGGTGCTGCAAAGGAAGGGGAATTCCATCACTTGTGACTGGAGTATAATCCGGGCTGGATAGAAATAATTTCTTAATTAAACCACAGGTCCACATGTGACCCCACATGTGGTCTCATTAAATGCCATCCTCAAGAATTCTGTTGGTTTTCTACCTCATGTTCCTTCATGTTCCTTCCCCTTTCTTGCCTCTCTAGATTCGCTTTATATAGCACATTAATGTCAGGAATGAGTTACTTTTCATTGTTTTCCAGAACAGTGACTGCATTGAACTGATAAATAAATGTCTGTATAGTTATTTGAGGGTGATCCCATCATACCAAGTGGGGCATAATTCTGAATAGACTTCATTAAATTGGGACTTCTAGCCTGCTGTAGCTCTGGTGAACACTGAAGAGGGTGGTCTGGTGAACACTGAAGAGGGACGCGGGTAGCGCTGTGCATAAAAGCCTCAGCGCCTAGGGCTTGCCGATCGAAAGGTCGGCGGTTCGAATCCCCGCGGCGGGGTGCGCTCCCGTTGCTCGGTCCCAGTGCCTGCCAACCTAGCAGTTCGAAAGCACATCAAAGTGCAAGTAGATAAATAGGGACTGCTTTCTAGCGGGAAGGTAAACGGCGTTTCCGTGTGCGGCTCTGGCTCGCCAGAGCAGCGATGTCACGCTGGCCACGTGACCCGGAAGTGTCTCCGGACAGCGCTGGCCCCTGGCCTCTTAAGTGAGATGGGCGCACAACCCTAGAGTCTGTCAAGACTGGCCCGTACGGGCAGGGGTACCTTTACCTTTACCTTTATAGTTATTTGAGGGTGATCCCATCATACCAAGTGGGGCATAATTCTGAATAGACTTCATTAAATTGGGACTTCTAGCCTGCTGTAGCTCTGGTGAACACTGAAGAGGGTGGTCTTTATTCCAGATCCAGAATTTCTGGAACCACCCACCAGTTGAATGGAACCCCTGACAGATTAACCTTGAGGAAATGTGGTTGTCCATGGAAAAAGGTTGCCCACCCCCAATTGAAATAAAGCTGTGGCCTTGCTTCTACATTAATTACCCCTGAACTACATTACAGATGATCAGAAATCCCACCTTTGATCCTATTTCAGGACCTATTGTGTCTTTCTTGTCATAGTTCTGGGAACTAAAGTTATTTATTCAATGAATTATAGTGGCTCATGCATGGAGTTACATCCCTAGATCACATCTGACAGCTGCATGTGTGAACTGACTTCATTTTTAATGGGAAAAAGCCAACAAACTTGTGACACCTTAAAGATTCACCTGTTTATTGAGCTTTCATAGTTCCATAGTCTTCTCCATCGAACATGCTGCAAAAAGGGTGGCCTGATTGCATGCATGATTACAAATATCACTGATAGAATTGTATATTACCTCCAACCCAATGGGCTTGTTCCAGTGTAAGTCATATCTAGGTCACACTGCAATCAGAGGTGCTTAAGTAAGTCATGGCTGACTTAGTCTGGATCCAGCCCAATGCTTCTCTGTGGCACCAGTACACACATTCACCTGTGAGTGATCAAATACTGAGTAATCAAGCAGTCACGACTAAAACACGTGCAGACATGCCCTACAAGTGACCATATACAATATCATACTTCAAGACTTCCAGTTTCTTTTTCATATTCCAGGGCTTGTTTCTTAATGTGGCAATTAGCTTCTTTTTCTCTTCTACCGCTTCCTTCAGCTTGGCTATTTCCTCCTCTGTAAGCTCCTCTTCAGAACTTGAATCAGAGCTTTAAAAAAGAGAGAGAGAGGTGAAAAGAGGGACAGCTTCACTGGTATGCTTGGGGGCAGCTGCTCCACCCACCCCTGGAAAGTATGTATCATTAAACTTGCTACATAATGTGTTCCCATGCCCCCACACCCTGGCATGCAGACTCCCCTCCAAATTGCACAGCATGAGCAAACATCAAGCAATATGAAACTGGATAATGAAACTGAACTTGGACTTTAAACATAGCCTCCAACATTCCTCAGATGAAAAAAGGGCCATTTCTCACTCCCCCTGTAACTGACCCTCCTCGACAGCCCTTCCCCCTCCCCCTCCCCCACGGAAGCATTTCCAATCAGAAGAGGGGCGAGTGCCAGCACCACTGCTCCAATGGGACACGGCACACACGCCCTCCGCTGTCCTGAGAAAATGCTCTTCTTTTTTTGCAGTGTTGTTATTTTTGTTTTGAAGAAACAGAAAACAGATTAGCAACCACCATTCCCACCCTCCGAATGCTCCAAACATTGTGCTTCCGCCTCCCTTTCCCATGCACAATATCTCAGAACGATGCCAGTGCAGCCCATTGTGGAGGATACAAAATAGTGGCCAAGTTGCCAGCATAGTTCCTCCTCCTCCTCTTCCTCCCGACACCTGGACAAAGGCCTTAGGAAAGGGGAAAGGAAGACACTGCCAGAGGTGAGGTTCCTCTCTGAGAAAGTGTTGGGGAATGTACCGTATTTTTCGCCCCATAGGGTGCACCGGCCCATAGGCGCACCTAGTTTGGGGGGGGGATAAAGAAAAAAAATTTATTTCCCCCCCCCAGGTGCGGGGCTGGGGCGGGGGAAGCCCGAGCTTCCCCCAACCCCAGCCCCCAGAACAGGGGGCTCCCGCCGGGCTCCCACGCCTTGCGGATATCTGCTTGAAGCCCAAACCAGGTTGGGGAACAGCGGGATGGCGTTCCGCCTCCCCGCTGTCCCCCGAGCTTGTGGGGCTGGCGGTGGGGAGAAGTGCGCTTCTCCCCACCACCAGCCTCCAAACCAGGTCGGGGAACCGAAGCCCAGGGCGTGCAGTGCAGTGCGCCCCAGGCTTCGAGATGCAGGCTGCTATCTGCAAGCCTAGGGAGCCCGACGGGAACTCCCGCGGGCTCCCACGGCTTGCGGAGAGCTTCCTGAAGCCTGGAGAGCGAGAGGGGTCAGCGAAAGCCTGCATTCACCCCATAGGATGCACACAGATTTCCCCTTCATTTTTGGAGGGGAAAACGTGCGTCCTATAGGGCGAAAAATACGGTATCTTCCGACTGGACAAGCTCAGCATAAATTGTCCTATCAATTCCTCTGGCCATAAATAGGGATAATAACTCTGAGGTGCTTAGACCTTCAGCAGTAAGGCATGTCATTTTAGGGGGGTGAAACTTAATTTTTGACAGTGAGGGGTCTTTAAAATATGTTTTTAGGTGTGAGGAACTCAAATCTGCTATTATTTTTTTGATTGGACAACATTAGCTTGGTAAGGTCAACGTTTGATGAAGAAACACATAACATGCTTTCAGAATTTTAATGTTACCTTCTGAAAAGATCAGGTAATGCAATATAATAATAAATATTAATAATATTAATATATTATATAACTGCAAGTACTTGACAGTCATTTTTCATTATTTCTATGCAATTTTACACATATTTTACTTACAAAGCAAAACTAAATTATATTTATTTAACCAAAATATATTTTGAATTCCCAAATCATGACACAACTTTTTAGCATCCCTCATATTTTGAAATTTGAAAGTTGAAAAATTCAACATACCCTACTGCAGGAGGTTCCTGTGAGCAATCATCATATAAAGCTTAAAAAAGAATGAGTGGTGTAAAATATTTTCCATAGTGGAATAAAAGGTTAACACCCCTTCCATTCCAGCCCTGATATGATGATGTTTCATCGTGTTTTTAATATTCTGTTGGGAGACGCCCAGAGTGGCTGGGGAAACCCAGCCAGATGGGTGGAAGAATAATAATAATAATAATAATAATAATAATAATAATAATAATAATAATAATAATATCATCTCATAGCTGGCACATTCCCACTACATATGAGTTTTTTTGTCTCATTATTTCTACTGTATTTCAGGAACAAACTAAATGTGATGATGACTTCCTGATTATCAAGATTGCTTCATTGATTCCTGAATGTATGTGGGATATTTTTGGTGGGAGCACCAACAGCAGTAATCAAAAACTGAAAATGTGTAGTTGCTGCCAGATATTTGAAGTAAATAGACCCATTTGCTTCTGCGCTGTCTTCATGCCTTGATTAATTTTATTACTAATACATGGGTTTGGGGAAGGACTGTGGAGGGCGCAGGGAACTAGGAAGAGTTGCGAAGCTCAAAGCTTTCCAAAGCAGCTCTGAGTAGGGGGGGGGCTGCAGCACAGCGGTGGAGCTTTGCATGCAGAAGGTCCCAGGTTCAGTCCCCCCCCCAGCATCTCCAGGTTGGACTGGGAGAGACCATATGAAATCCTGGAGAATACACACACTCTGCTGCATTCCTATTCTAGCTCCAGTCCCTCGCAATGGCTATTTAGTTAGAAAACTAATTATAGGCACATAGCAACAAACTACATGACAAACAACATGCCTAATTTGGCTCTTTCTCCTTTGGGTATTGAGGTCTCAGAATCTTACATACATTGCGAACACAGCTTTGAACAGGAGTGGCCAGTTATGCGTTGCCAAATAGGACATCCATTTTCAGAAAATGTGCATGTGGTGATTTATATGCATAGATGCAAATTTAAGCTGTACTGTATCTCAGCACAGTGTGGAAGGCACCCAGGTGACGTGTGTGTGCCCAAATAGAAGATGCTTTCAAACAGAGAACGCCGCCCCCTGACAGTCCTTCGGTGTAGTGGACTGCACTCTGTTGAGCACAACACACAGTCACTCAAAAGTGTCACGTCCTCTGGCCAAAATTAAACTGCAGAGCTCTTTTGGAAATACTCCATTTTTATGAGAACTGAGTATGTATAGATCTGGCTCCACGAGCTTAGGGAGTATCTCAGAAGGTGATGGTCTCTCCTTCAATGGAGGCTTTTAAACATACAGGTTGGGTGACTGTCTGTCAGGGATTCTTTCCCTTGCAGAGGGTGGGACCAGATGACCCTTGATAGCCCTCCCCTCTCTACCCTTCTAGGAGTACTGCAGATTGCTGCAGTATGCCTAACACAACCATCATTGACTTTACATTCAAGAGATCATCATCATAATAAGGCCTTACCCTGATCCTTTTTTCTTTTTGTCTTTCTTTTTTTTCTTTTTCCCTTTTTTCTTGTCCTTTCGTTTTTTATCCCCATCTTCTTCATCACCATCCTTGGTCATCTGGTTGGCTCTGTTCTTCCTGCTTTTGCAGCCTTCTCCATCCGATTCGCTGATGTCTAATCCACCATCTTTCATCCTCCGCCTTTTGTATTTTCGCCTACGATCTGCGGCAGTCTCTTCATCCTCATCCTCGCCCTCTTCGTCCTCTTCATATTTCTCTCTGGTTTTTTTACTTGACGCTCCCTTTCTCTGAACAGATTCTTGCTCTTTATTGTCAAGAACAGAGAATAAAAATACATTCCCTCTGGATATCAGCCACCTTCCCCCCCACACACACACACAAACCTACACACACACAAAACATTGTTTTCTGATGTCATTGTTTCAAGCCAAGTAAAAGCAGTGAATGATCCCTGGGCCAGTCACGGTGCAGTGAGAAACCACAGCCTCAGTTCTCAGTCATTATGGACCATATTCGGTAGCCTTGCCTTAGCCATGCAGCCTCACATACCTCACAGGTAGGGTGGACAGATGCAGACGTGACCAGGGCTCCTCCTGCGCCTTTAATAGCGATGCAGAAGGATGGATGTCAACAGGTGTGACGTGCCTGAACTGCTACTAATTCCACATAATTGTGAAAAGGACAGAAGTCCAGCCTGGCCAGGCATTTCCCGGGGACTCTTATGAGGCAATGCACCTCTCTGGGCTCTTCAGAAGGATCAGATACAAAAGTAGCAAAACAAAAATGGAGAAGTGAGTAAATTTTGTGACAACCTTGGTGGTCAGTTAAAGTCTGCAGTGCCTCACTTGCCTGCCCCATTTCAGAGTATAGTACCTTAATGGGACATTAAGAAACCAGTGCAGTTGCAGCCATTTATAAATAGCATTGGAATGACATCGAACAATGTTTTTCCTAGACGGTGTACACAATTCCAGGACAGTGTTCAGCTCTGACAAAGAATGCAAACCCCTGCTGTGCCAATGCACTGGAGCTGTGTTGGAAATCCAGGACAGAGCATTGGGATAATTTTGGACCCACTCCAAGGAATGCTAAGCACAGCAAAAACAAACAAACCGCACACTTGACTAAAAGCTAGGCGTGCATATCACCTATGAGGTGTAAAGGGAGCCCTTGGGTTGAGTCCAGTCCTTCCCATTCCCTGCTCCCACCCTGCTCCAGGTGATTGGAACTATCAGAAATGGCCATAGATGAAATCTTAGCCATGTTTCAAACTGCTCACTAACTCGAAGGTGCTAAATGCTATTGCTCTATTCTCCATATCAGCCTCTTATAGGAGAGATTAGATGTGGACTTTTTACGATGCACAGATGGCATTGTCTGGATTGAGGACATCATCACAATGTGATGTCAACAGATTGCATTCCAACACTACACTGTTTAGGCTGTGTACTCTTATTTTTGGCCATATAGGTGGAACTATATGTATCAGTCAGGTCCACCACCTTATGGAAGGTTTTCAAAAGCATAAAGCAGCCAGGCCAAAATTTGCTGTGGAAGATCAATGCATATATGTTGGCTTTTCTGTTAAAAAGTGCCTTCCTAGTTGCATTTTCCGCACTGAGGAAAAATAGGGAAATATATGGAATGATCCTAAGATCACAGATAAAACTCATATTCCACAAATATAAGCAGAATGTTAAGGAACAGAGTGTATGCCCTGCAAATGGGAAAACTTCCATTTAACACATGGTTGCCATTTTAATACTGTTAATTGAAATAATCGTGACATGGTTGCTGTCATGTTTGTTAAGTATCATATCAACAAGAGGACACTATTCTTGAATTTCTACCGCCCTTTGTAGCTGATGACATCTTGGTTCTTTTGCAGTGTGAACCATTGTGTATGAGGAATTGGCCTGTGCGTCCTGCCCAGCTTGTTGACGGCAGAGATCTATAGAACCTCTTTTTACACTCTCTCTCTCTCTCTCTCATTCACTCACACTCTATCCTGGGTATTCTTACCTTCTTCACTTTCAGCAGCACTGCCTTCATCATTGTCAACCTCTATTCTCACTGTGGAGGAAAAATAAAAACTCTTTGTTTTCTGTGTCCTGAAGTCCATTTAGCGGCTCTTTAATTCCCAGATCCTTAATGCATCTGCTGATTGTTCCCATCCCTGCATAGTCATTTAAAGACCAATTCTAGCATTCAAATCATAAAGACATTAGGCATGACCAGAAGTGCATCCACCTGCAGACAGCTTTGTCCCATTTAAAATAATTTGAGCTGTGCTACTGCTAATGGCCCACTCCTGATAAATGGCTGGAGAATTTATCTTTCTCCTGGAAAAAGTCTGAAATGACACACTGCATTCTGAGCACAGCAGGAAATTCTTGTTTGCTCATAGAGCACTCTGCCTTCACAACAGAGAGCCTGGCCCCTGTTGGTTCTGGCCTATACAAGTCGTACAAACATCAGTTACAATTGCTGAAGAGGTACAAGTAATGGGGGAAGAGCTGTAGCACCTGATGCCTATGCAGAAGACCACAGGTTCAGTCTGGGCATCTCCAGATAAGGATGGGTTACACACCTGTATGGAATTCTTGAGATCTACTGCCAGTCAGAGTAGACAATACTGTGCAAGATGCACCAATAGCATAAGGCAGCTTCCTATGTTCCCATGAAGAAGTAATGTTGTACATTAACAAATTAATACAGTAGCTGCAGTTTTCAAATGCAGCACAGCCTTATTTATCCAAATAAACTGATAACAAATTGTTAACCATCTAGAAAATCACAAAACATGACTTCTGGCTGCTGGCTATATGCTTTTTTCTGGGGGGTGGGATGCAGGGGTATGCATACCCCTGAACATTTTGTGAATTTTGTACTTTTGTCTGTATTTATTTTCCCCCGATTTGATCTATAAAATTGTGGTTTTCTTGAGTCAAAATGAGAGTAGCCCAAACATTTTTTTAGAAAAAAAGTGCTGGTTATATGTATGCTTATGAAAGGCGTTACATGTGGAACAAATGGTCAGTTTAGGTCATTTAGTTTTATAGTAAAAAGAGGCAAGAGATTTAGCATGACAGAAAGAAGGGAACAAGTTCCCAGTGGAAAGAAATGAAGGAGAATCATGAGAAAGGGAGGAGGTGCTTATTTCTAAATAGGCTGCTAGTGAACTGCTGCTAGATTGTGCTGCTAGTGAACTTATTTATTTTTTGTTGTGAATTTTTGTGGGGAGAGATCTGTTTCATATACTATTAATCTGAGCAGGAAGTTAGATTTTATATTAAGATCAATGCAGGTCAGGATACACATCACAAAAAAATACTCATCTTTGAAAGATGAATGCACCAATGAGTTGCACAAAATGGATGTCTAGGTTTTTTCCCCCCTTCATGGGCCTTCTTAATTGTAATCATTCTTCTTGTTTTTATTATTGCTTGTAAGCCGCTCTGAGCCCGGCCTTGGCTGGGGAGGGCGGGGTATAAATAAATAAAATTATTATTATTATTATTATTATTATTATTATTATTATTATTATTATTATCCTAACTCCAGTTCTCCATTTCCCCAGTGCTGTAGCCCTCGTCCAGTTTCACAACCCATCTCACAGCTACATTAAAGTATTTTTCTTTTTTAAAAAAGGCAAAGAGACCCAATCACAGATCTCCCAGGTCACATCAACTTTGTCCTTCAGATTGTTCTAATTCCATAGCGGCAGGCTCACCACTGGTGAGCTTTTTGTGACTTTCCCACATTCCATCAGTCACATTGTTTCCTATTTTCACTTATCATTTGAAGGAACCTACCCGAATCTTTTTTCAAAACAATGGCGTACATGTTCATTTACTGAGTGAAAACTCCATTGAACAAAATGAGTACTGCTTTGATAAAGTGGGAGATTAAAGAATGGCAAAATATGTAATGCTGAGAAAAGAACAGAATTATTATTGTTTTCTCACTGTGCAAGAGTTATTCAGAAGTTGGCAGGCTGATTTTTTTAAAAAGGCATATATGCAAGAAGCAGAAATTCCTTCCAAAAAGCCAGTAACATGCTCTGCCATTTCAATTTCCACCAACATCTGCATAATCTCCCCCTACTCCCAAATTATGCAAAAATGTTATTCAATATCAAGAGTGGAACGCAAAAATGAGTGTTCTTTTGTTTGGTCTGAATATATGCTTTCGCCTGGAGGCAGTAAATGGATCCACATTATACAAAGATCATTACAATTGCCATGGAGTCCTTGCAGTGATGAAGACAAACACTTTTGGAAAGATGCTTTGCGTGCTATATTAGGGCACCTTACTTTATTTGTAAGGAGTGCCTTCAGTGATCTACTTTCAGCCAAAGAAAAAATTCCTATGGACAGAGGATCCTGATGAAACCACGCAGTAAGGGAGCAGCTGGCGGCCTACGGTATGCATTGGAATGTCCATTAAAGCAGGGAGTATATATTCTGCAGAAATCAACATGCTGATACCTGTACCATAAAAAGACACTGCTCATAACTGGGGCTTAAACACATCGTCAATGTAATTGATTGAATTTAATTAAGCACAGTGGCACAGAATAACTAACAAGCAAAAGAGAATCCAAGGGGCAGAGTAATGTGTTGATGTGAAGAAGCAGGTTGCTTATTCGCCTGGTGAATAATGCCTTGGGGAAGGGCTGTGCATTGGTAGAGCATAGACCTTGCATGCGGAAGGTCCCAGGTTCAATACTTGGTATCTCTTGGGAGAGACCCTGGTGCCAGTCACTGTGGAGGATACTGAGCTAAAGGAACCAATGGTCTGACTTGGCTTCCAATTCTCCTTAGTCCTATTCCTGAACTCTAGGCAATATTCGGGGAGTGACAGTGAATCAATGGGAAACTGTGATGGCCTGGGATTCCGATTCAGAGAGTGAACCGGAGGAATCCCAGCCGGCACAGGAGTCCCCACCTCCAGGGCCGGCTGAACTGGGGCAAGGCCTTGATGCTGAGGAGCCTGCACCTGTGCTGGATCCTCAGGAGCAGGCACCAGGTGAATCCATTCTGGCTCCAGAGGTGGTTGAGGACTCAGTGCCTACAGGTGAGTCTCCCCCGGGGCCCAGTAACCCTTCAGCCTCTCCTGAACTGCAGAGGCTCAGGGCAGAGAGGCGAAGGGAACTGGTTTCTCCCAGGAGGAGTGCTCGCCTTAAGGCCAGGAGAGGCGGGTCTCCTGGGGGCCGGGACCGCCCCTGGCCTTAGAGAAGATAAAGGCCAGTCAGCCCGGTTCCAGGTTGCAGGAGCAACGTCGTTGTTGAGTACCTGCTCTTACCCGGACCTAGACCTGATCCTCCAGTGTTCCTGTTCCCCGCCCGGCTCCCTACTTCGGACCTCGCCTCGCACCTTGTGAACTATTTCCAGGCTAGTGACTCAGGACTGAACTTTGACTACAGTAGCAGTAACCTTCCCCCCCGGGACCAGCACAGAAACTTTAACTGGGTGGCGCTGTGGGTTAAACCACAGAGCCTAGGACTTGCCAATCAGAAGGTCGGCGGTTCAAATCCTCATGACGGGGTGAACTCCCGTTGCTCGGTCCCAGCTCCTGCCAACCTAGCAGTTCGAAAGCACATCAAAGTGCAAGTAGATAAATAGGTACCGCTCCGGTGGGAAGGTAAATGGCGTTTCCGTGCGCTGCTCTGGTTCGCCAGAAGCGGCTTAGTCATGCTGGCCACATGACCCGGAAGCTGTACGCCGGCTCCCTCGGCCAATAAAGCAAGATGAGCACTGCAACCCCAGAGTCGGCCACGACTGGACCTAATGGTCAGGGGTCCCTTTACCTTTAACTATAGTAAGGTTTAACCAAGGGAAACGAAATATAATAAAACATTCCAGCATCCAGTTACTCTGTTTCTGCAAGTTACTTTCTCTATCCCTCTCCTTCCTTCCTTCCTTCCTTCCTTCCTTCCTTCCTTCCTTCCTTCCTTCTTTCTGACTTCCCTTCTTTCTTAAGCTGCAGGGATACACATATCTGGAAGCAAGTCACTCTGAACTGAGTGGGGCTCATTTCTGAATAAGCATATGTGGGACCGTGGGACCATATAAAATATCTGCCCCTGGACGTAGCCAGGATTTATGTTGGGGGTGGGGGGACAGGGCACCCACCGGTCATCATCCTCTGTCTAGCTCTGTCTAGCAGATACGGAATGAAATGTCTCAAGAGCAGTAGCTTAAAATTACTTTATTTTGAACCCAAGTTGTTATGTAGTGTAGTTTCACCCTGGGCCAACAGGGGGATACTGTATATAGTTTTCACTCAGGTCTGTAGATAGTTTTCACTCAGGTCCGCGGCAGTTATTTTAGGCGGGAACTCTGGGCTGTTGTGGTTACAATGTTGACAGCCGGCTGCCTATAAATACAGGCCGGCTGAGCTGTCGCAGTCAGTTGTATTCCAGCTTACCATAATAAAGAGCTACTTGAAGAAATCGCTGTGCCGGCTGCTATGTCAACCCACGACTTAACACTGGCGACGAGGATGGGATTGATGGACATCAGAGCACAGCCAGATGCGGCCAGCCTCTGAACTGAGCTGAATCACTGAGCTGAATCACAGAGCGAAATCACTGAGCGAAATCACTGGGCAGAACCAATTCAGAGCTGACTGTTCTGGCTAGAGCACTGTGTTCCATCCATCGCCCTTCACGCCGGCATCGGAATCATGGCTTCACTTGTGCCTCTACCGCCGTTTGCGCCAGCCTCTGAATCGTGGGACTCCTACCTCGCTCGGTTCGACTGCTACCTCCAAGCCAACGAGCTGACAGCAGTATCAAAGGATCGGAAGCGGGGCCTATTCCTCAGCCTCTGTGGGCCTGAGGTGTTTGAGACGGCCCGAGCGTTGGTTGCGCCTGAAGCAGTCCAGGCAACACCATGGGACACGATCCAAGAGAAGCTCCGCAACCACTACGCACCAAAGCCGTCCAAGATTGCTGCCCGCCATGCGTTCTACCACCGGAACCAGGCAGAGGGGGAGTCAATCAACAACTACACCACCGCCCTGCGACAGGCTGCAATGCACTGTGAGTTCCGAGACTTAGACGATGC